GAAAGCAGCCGGAGGACGCCGCAAGGGGCCTCTTGGGCCAAGCCCACAATTCGGGGGATTGGCATGTGTCACCGGCCCACGGCCAACCCCTGTCTCGGGATGCCGGCGGTCCTCCCCGGGGACACGACCGATCAGGAGCCAGTAAAATAGCTCACAAACACGCTCGCCCTTTCCACACACGCATCGCCAGACCCAGTGGGGGCTGCGGGGGGACCCAAGTGAAGACCCCGACCACCCAAGCACCCCTTGGATCCGGCCCATGACCTGTCCCGAAAAGGCCCCAGTCTGGGCGCTCGCTCCCCGGTCCGCGGCACAGTCCCCTCTTCCCTCCCGCCCCCCACCCCCCATATCCCCCTATCCCCCTGCTCCGTATCTCTGCCCCCTTCCTTCCTTCCTCTCGCCCTGCCTTGCAACCATGTCCCTGCCCATGTCAGCGAAATCCCGGCCCATCGGCACGGGCAGCTCCAACCACTCGAGCTCCTGCCTGTCCTCCTCGCTGCCGGACAACCCGCTGCTGGTGATCGACGGGGCGTCCATCGATGCGGCCACCCCTTCGCCGAGTCTGATCGCGGACTCCTCCAACTGTGACAGCCCGCTGACGCACCCGACGCTAAACTCCCTGCCCTCGGGTGGGTCGAGCTTCCTGTCGAATGTCACCGACTCCGGGACGTCGCTGCTCCCGTCGCTGACTGCGGAGCCGGCGCTGCCGCTGCGCCTGGCCGTGGGTGCGTGCTTCAAAGATGCATCTCCATGCATGTGTGTGTGTGCGCGCGCGCGCCCGGGTGGGCTTTGTGAAATGAGCTGACTTTGCCAAGCTCCACTGCTCTGCCATGTGAATTACTCATGCTGGCGGCCGTTCCGGCACCCGTGCACCCGCACCGGGGGTGCTTATCCCGGTCGTTGCGCGTAGTTCTCGTGGGTTTGCCCGCTCGAGGCAAGTCCCACATCGCCGCCCGGCTGAACCGCTACGCCAAATTCCTGGGTCTCGAATCGATCCTGATCAATGTCGGCCAGTATCGGCGCCGGCTGTGTGGCTCCGAGCAGCCGGCCGAGTTTTTCGACCCCCGCAATGAGACAGCCGCCCACCGCCGTGAACAGGCAGCCCAGGCGGCTCTGAACGACATGATTGAGTGCGCCCGACCGCCAGGTGCTTGCCTCCGGGCCGCTTGCCCTGTGCTCTGAGTGTGCTGACCATTTGTCGACATTCCCGTGCTCGGGGTTGAAGGTTCCTGCGCCGTGGCACCCGGCACATTGCCATCTTCGACGCCACCAACAGCACCTCCTCCCGCCGGTCGTTCATTCGCCAGGCGTGCGACGCCATCGACGCCCAGGTGCGCTGCTCTTTGCTCTCGCCATTGTCGGGCCTGCTCCCTCCTCGCCCCGGGTGTGCTAGAGCTGCCTATCGGGTAGCTGGGGCTTCACATCGGCTCCGGGGTGGGATTCTCTTTTTTGTCTGACTGGTGTTAGAGGGGGGGGGCAGGGGGGCGGCGGCGGAGGGGGGGGGACGGGCTCATCCTTCGCCCGCTGATGATCTGCCTTTCACCCCTCTGACCATATTTTCCCGCCCGCCCTGGGACGCCACTGCCACATGTAGGTTCTCTTTATCGAGTCGGTTTGCACCGATCAGGAGCGCATCAAGGAGAGCGTGCGCATTCTGAAGACCGCGTCGCCAGACTACTCCCTGGTGGAGGCCGAGGTGGCCGAGCGGGACTTCATGCAGCGTATCTCCTACTATGAAAGTACGCATGACACTTTGACACACGATGCAAGTTCCTCGCGTCTCACCACCCCGCCCGGGCGCCCGGCCATGCTCGGCCGGCCCCGCCAGGCCAATATGAGGAGGTCGCTTGCCAGGAGGGCGCGTACATTCGCCTGCTGACCAAGACCGGGCGCTACCTGCCGGAGGTGAATGCCCGGCTGTCTGGCGGCGGGGTGCCTCGGCGGTGGGCGCTGAGTCCCTCGGCGCGGGACATGGCCACCCGGCTGTCGCGGCTGCTGGCCTGCGTGCGGCCGGACGCGCCGAATCCGGTGTCCACCGCCCAGCGCAATGACACTGGCACCTTCCCCACCAGTGCCGAGGCCATGGAGAGCGCCAGCACCTTCACGGTCCTGCGTGAGCATCTTGGCGGGGACATTGTGGCGCTGAACTCGCTGAACTCCTCGCCGGTGGTGGGGCCGCTTGGGGCGCTGGATATGCCGGTCCGCGGACCGGCCGGCTTCCCTCGCGGTCCGGGCGACTTCGACCGGATGTCGCCCCTGCACTCGAATGGGCCCGGTCTGCGGGATCACCAGCACCAAGCCGATGAGCAGGATGAGGACGACCTGGCCGATGCGCTGGCCGGGTGCCATGTAGCCAGCGGGTCCAGCCCGCTCTTGCAGCCGGATGCCCCGGGGCCGGACCTCCTGTCCACCTCGCCGGCCTGCATGTCTCCGGCTTTGGGGGCCCATCCCCTTCGCCGGGTGTACCTCACCCGGCATGGGGAGAGTGTCTTCAACCTGTCCGGGCAGCTGGGCGGCGACTCGGACCTCAGCGAGCGCGGGGTGGCCTATGCCCGGGCTCTGGGCCAGTACCTGCGCAAGAAGCTCTTCCCGGCGGAGTCCCCGGCTGCCGAGTCGCCGGGGATGGACCCCTGTGCCAGCCACCCGACGTCGGAGGGTGGCGCGTGCGTGGCCACGGCCACCGCTGCGGCCGTGGCGGCCGTCAGCGCCGGCTGCTGGGGGCCCAAATTCGAGGTGTGGACTTCGACTTTGTCCCGGACCATCGAGACGGCCAGTCACCTTCCGCCGGCCACCATGAAGTACTCGTGGGCCGCGCTGGACGAGCTGGATGCCGGTCTGTGCGACGGGCTGACCTATGCCCAGGTGAAGGTATGTCCGCCTGGGGAAGCAAGGCCGCGGGGGAGGGGGAAGGGCGGGCATGGATATGCTGCTTCTCCCATCTCTTCTCTTCCTTTTTTTTGTTTTTGCCATCCTCGCCCTTACATGCGAGCCCACGTTCCTTTTCCTTCCTTTCTCGGCCTCTCCCCTCGGGGGAGGGGTGCGCGTGTCTCCGCCACCGGTGTAGGAGCGGTATCCGGCGGACTTTGCGGCCCGCGACGACGACAAGCTGAACTACCGATACCCGGAGGGCGAGGTACATGGAGCATGCTTCACTTGGTGGCCTCCCCGGTTGTTCGCTCCCTGGCTGGTCTTCCTGTGCCATCCCTTTCATGCTGCTTCTTTCATGTCACACGCCTAGTCTGACCCATGGACCTCCTGGCCAGTCCTACCGCGATGTGCTGCTGCGCTTGGAGCCGGTCCTGCTGGCCATCGAGTGCCGGACGTCGGAGAATCTCCTGATCGTCGGCCACCAGGCCATCCTCCGCTGCGTGTACGCTTGGATGTTTGGCATCCCGGTGGAGTCGATGCCGTACATCGAGGTGCGCCCGCGGCCAGACCCCTTCCCCCCTTCCGTTGCTTGTCCTCTGTCCTTTGCCCGGTCGGCCACACGGTACTCACTCAGGCCACTTGCCCGGTCGGTCTTGGCCATTCTGCCGGCCAATCGGCAGATTCCCCTGCATGGCGTTCTGGAGCTCACACCGACCCCCGCCGGCTGGAGCGAGAACCGGTACGCTCCCTGCTGACATGCGCGCATGCCCTCCCCACTGTGGCAGAAGGAGCACCGTCCTCCGCCTGTTGCCATTTTGTCCGCAACGCCATCGCTGCCTTTGCTGCTGCTGCTGCTGCTGCTGCGACCACCGGGCTTCGTCACCGGCTGGTCACTCACACGTGTCTCCTTGCGAAAAAAAAACACCCGCTCCGCACGCCGCCTTTCACGCTGGGGAGACAGCTATTCCTTCGGCATCGAGTCTGTCAGCACCCACCGAGACCCGCGCAAGGATGCTGCAAGTGGCCAGTAATTGGCCACGAAGGAGTTGGAATCCCACAGCAGGGGCCATAGCGCCACACAACAAGGCCCCGGAGCGAGCATGACCACAGCCCAGACCCAAGAGATGAAAGGAGCTCAAAGAAGGGCGATACGAGGCCCGCACCCAGCTTTTAATCCTGCAGAGGCCAATCTTTCACTGACGATCAAGTGACGGGAGCTGGGTTCCCTGCTCCCTCTTCCTCGTGAAGCAAGCCAAAATACACCCAGATGTCCCCGCTGAGAGCGATAATGCATGGAGGGAAGGAGACAGAGAGACAGAGAGACAGACAGAGAGAGGGAGAGAGGGGCGGGGAGGGCGAGAGAGAGAGAGAGAGAGAGAGAGAGAG